TTTTTTTGTTAATTAGTACTTTAATTACTTAATCATTAGATATTAATAAAGGAGAAAGGAGGGAAAGAGAGACAAAATTTAAAAATTTGTTCTTTTTAAAATCATAAGAATTATAGCAAACATAATGTCAAAAGAGATGATTAGTCTATTTTATTGAATCTTGAAATCATTAGTATAATTTTGTTATTTATTTGTGTTGTCTAATTTATTGAATGTGAATTTCATGAGTGGTAAAATGTGTGTATTAATTATTTTTAACTTTTAATTACTTTCATTCTTTTAGTAATACAACTTATATGCATGCGTAAAGGATATTTATGAAATAAAAGTTCATCTCTCTGTTTAAAGTACTTTTTTAATATTACTTTTTCTAATTGAACTAACTTTGTTATCAAAATTTTAATTTCAAAGGAGATTTGTATAATTTTACAAACTTAAGGGGAGACTAGTAAGATTGTCAGAAATTTAAGGGAATGTTTCTAAAATTATTCCTTGGTAAACTTCAAAACAGTTGGCCGCTCTTTTATACATCTCATTCCTGGTTTCCATTTTTTTCTTGTACAAATAATCTTACAATCTTTATAAATCATAGGCCATTGTTTTACATCCTTCGATCTATTACTGGATGTAGGGCTGTCACGGGCCGGAATTCATTATTCCGGATCCGGACCCGAATTATTATACCGGAATCGGATCCGACCCCGTTTACCCGACGGGTCTTTTATTCTATGTTTCGGATCCAGATCCGGCGGGTCCGGATCCGGGTCGGATTTACCCGCACAAATTTAGCAAAATTTATAATTTCTAATAAAAATGAGAAAAAAATATATTTGTAAACTAATTTCTAACTAATGCAAAGAAAAAATCAAATAAGAAAAGAAATCAAATTGACTTTACTCAAATACATCATCCTAATCAAATTATATTGATAAATATATATATTTTAAATTATTAATTCATTTATATCCGGATCCGGGTCTAATACGGGTTGAAATGCTATATTCCGTATCTGACCCGTTTTTTGTTTGACAAAACGGATCCGGAAAACGGAATTAAATCCCTACCCATACCCGCAATAATTTCACGGATCCGGTCCGGATCCGGGTCCAGACCCGACCCGTTGACAGGCCTAATTGGATGCCTACCATTTACCTAACACTTAGGTTGTTCTGTGTATAAATTTCTACCACTCGATCAATTATTTTTTGTATTTTTATCATACATTTACCATTAGATTGGACCATGATTCAATGGAATAGTTTACTTATCGTTAACTGTCTTTTAGATGAAAATTTTGACAATAGCAAACTCAGAAGGTATATTTGACAAAGCAGATTAAAGTTTTGAAGCTTTATTCATTTTGTTTGTTCTCATAGCTTCCTTCTTGGTCATTTTCATAAAACAAATGACACAAGATGTGCAGCTTCTTCTTCAATAACTTATCGTCAATACAACATTATTAAAACAAAAAACATTCTAAAGTTTATAGAAATCAATATATTTTTCCAATCATACACATTTGTATTTAAACATTCTAAAATTTTTTATAGAAATCAACATATTTTTCCAACAATACACATTTGTATTTACATGTCAAACCAAAAGAAACAAATGTGAATTCACTTTCTATAAAATGCAATTACTAATATATTCAACAAAACAACTTATTATTTCCTATGAAAAATATAACTACTACTACAAAGCTATTGTTTCATCAATTACTGCCAATGAATATTTTCCAATGGGCACTGGTTGTGCATAGCACAGCCTACCCCTATTAGTTTTCTTCATTTTTCTCACTTTTTTCTTTGTCTATTCTACTTTTGTCAATGCTCCAGCATAGCAGGTACATTTTTTAAAACACCCACGTTACCATCTTCACCATCACAAAAACCCATCAAATTGTGAACTATCTATCTCTTTTTATTTTTCTCTATTTTAGCCTTGATAACAGCCTTCACTCCATTTATGGTGTTTTCTACATCTATTTGTCATGAAGATTTACCATCATAGTTGTACAAATCGCTATTTCCGTAAGATGGAAAAGAACCGCCTTTTGCTGGACTTTGTCTATAAGTCCGTATGGATATCGCTAGAAAGATATAATTGCTATAAACTCTTCAAGTTAAAATGCTATTTCAACCGAGAACTACACAAATACTTGCACTGGGAATCATGGTGATGAATCCAAGAATCCAAAAATGTTTGCAAAATCACATCAATCTATAGTGAAAAAGCTACCCGGTGAAGTAAATTTTTCAAAAAAAGAAACAAAATCTACTATCGGAGGTAGAAGTACGGATTCAAGAGCAGCAATAGCTGAGAAACATGAACAATGTGAGATACCGGCAAAATCCATAACCATGAAACCCAAGAAGCTAGCTGGTGAAGGAAATCTAAAAAAAATGAATCGGTCATCAGAGAGTACAAACTCTGCATAGCAAAAGCCCAAGAAATCTAAAAATAGCAGTGGTTTTACACAGTTTTTCTTTTCAGTACAAGAGGCAATCACTTTCGCCATTATCGCAGTTGGCTAGTCCATGAATAGTGTGTGTAGAAGACAACGGTCTCATGGAGGATGTTAAAATGTTAAAAATAAAAATAAAGGAAATCAGGTAACATCAAGCTACTAAAAAGAAGATTAGAGCTCTCAAGAAAAGTTAGCAGACAAAACAAACTGAGATGAAGTAGGTCACCAAAGGCTGAAGCGCAAAGTTGATGACGTCATGCAGAAAAAACGGGTGGTGAATTGGTATACACTTTTCAAGTAATTCTTATCATCTATTAAAGATTCAAGAAACACACTGAAGCCATTCGCCGTTAATTTTTTACTATCTTTTTCGAGTTTAATTGGACCAGTGACAAATAGTAATTATTAGTCCGTTTCCTAGATCACTCCCCGATCTACATGGCTGGAAATGTAAATGGTTAAACTAATTTTTTGTTTGATAAATTCTTGAAGCAGTTGCTTGTAACAAATCATCGATGATCAATTACCATGCTGGTTTAATTGTGTGACCAAATGGAGTAATAGCGAGTTACAAATACGCATAATTAAATCCAAAAATAAAAGAAAGGATTAAATGCTAAAAGTCTCCATGAAATATTATATTAGTTGTACTTTACACTTTAAAGTATTTTAATTGGCACTCTACACTCTTGATAAATTACAAAATGAAGAAATTAACTTCATCTAAGTAATTGATGAAACGATTAGCTTATCCTTCATTAAAAATTTAAGCGGTAAAAATTCTTTTTGGTGGGAAAACATTTGTTATTTAGGGTCTGTTTGGTAGGGTGTAAAATGCTTTCCCTGGGATGACATTTTCCTTAAAAGTAATTTTCCAAGAAAATATTTGGTTTCTTCATTATTTTCTTGTGTTTGGTTTAATTTTTTGAAAACATTATTCTGTTAGATTTATGAGTAAAGGATTGTGTTCCACATTGGTCCAAGAGATGGAGAAAGAGCGATTAATATGTAAATAAAGGTCCAAAACCTAATAGGTTAAGTTTTTGGGTCAGAGTTGGGTTCCTGATTTACATATTGGGCTCTTTGGCAGACTCACTCGAGGTGTTTCTCCTTATCAAATTGGTATTAGAGTTTCAGGTTGTGAGACTGGGCTATTCATGGGCAAGTATATTTTTCTCGGAGTTGGACCAGGTAAAAATTCTCTTCTTAATGGTGGACCGAAGTGTCAAGAAGTTTGGTTGGTGTTGGACTAGGTGTACCATAGGTTTGGCAGGGGGTTCGGTTAATGTTAGACCAAGAAACCAAGGGTTGGCAGGGGTGCAGAATGCAGTTTGGATGTTGAAGAAGAGTGGGTCTATATTTGAGAGAAGATGTGACTTTGGTGATAAAGATGGACTTACATTGAGTATTAAAGTGGACTCGAAAAATGATTAGTAAATTTGGGTTTAATGTGAGGATTACTCATGAAGGGAGAGATTTGTTAGATTCATGAGTAAATGGTTGTGTCCTACATTAATTAGAGGGATGGAGAAAGAACGGTTAATATGTAAATAAGGATCCAAAATCTAATAGTTTAAGTTTTTGGGTCAGAGTTGAATTTCTGACTTACATATTGGGTTATTTGATGGATTCTTTTGAGGTGTTTCTCCCTGTCATATTCTCAACAAGTAATAACCATTAGATCAAACTGGGCCTTATGGTTCGTGGTTTCCCTTCACTTGTAATCTCCTTCGCATGCTACATCACCACCAACGTAAAACTCCACAAAATTGATTATTTGCTGAAAAGTCACCGTTGGCGTTAACATCGAAGCACAAGGTGGCTCTATTCCGTTGCAACCTTCACTATTGGGCTCATGGTGGCTTTCTCTTTCCGACTGTTGATCTGTCCTTTCTTTCTCTCTTCCTAGGTTGCAGTTTATCTTGATTTCTCTTTCTCCATTTATGTCTTTCTCTGTCATCGAAGAGTTAGCTATCTACCGTGGAAGAGGTAGGTGTTCGCTGTGTGAGAATGGGCAATGGCTGCAGGCGATAGAAAGCAATTTTAGCAAGTCTTTTTATGGAAGTTACTTTACACCTTGAGGTGTAAAATATTTTACGCAGAAAAATATTTTCATCAACAATAATTTAATCAAACACCGGAGCTCAAGGAAGTTGTTTTCGGAAAAAAAATTTTCAATTGAAACAAATGGACCCTTAAACTAAGACTAATTTTTACTTCATGAAAATATTTAATTGAAAACATATAAAAATAACATACAAAATTATTTTGAATGACAATTGGCATCGAACTAACACTTTAGTGACTTCATGAAAGCCCATTTCAACAAGAGGTGATAATGGGGCGAGGCCCGTCCCTGCCCATCCGTAATCCTGCGCTCTAAAGTCCTCTCCCCGCTCCTGATATCATAACCATAAGGAATTTTTGTTACCGGTAAGCAAATAAATAAATAAATAAAGGCCCAATGGCGAAATCCAGGCTTAAGAGACACCAAAAAGAAAATAAAATGGGGGAGAAGGTTGTGAAAGCGGCGACATATTTTCGTCAATGTCAGAGCTCCTAATTCTAGTTAAGTCATAGCATTAGCTTTTCTTTAACAGTGAAGTGTATCCGTATTTCCAGGCCATTAGAATATCGACGACGAGGGAATATATAAAAAAAAAGGGGGGAAATAATATGCAAATATGGAAAGGAGCCCGGTTCACGTATACATCTCCGATGGCGCGATGGCTCCTCTCTCGTCCCTCTTCCACTAAATTGTTCGTTGGAGGTCTCTTTCTCTCTTTGTTGGATGCTGCTTTTAATCTCCGATTATTATACGTGGCTTCGTGCATATCTAATTAGTGCTCTATTGGGTAGCATTCCATATGTTTGAGAAAATGTTCCAATGACTTCTTCACGTGATGCTGCTAGCATGGTTGCACTATGTACAAGGTTACTCAAGTATTGCAGCACTAACCTGAGAAGATGAAGGGATATGGCATCTATCTACCTGTGGAGATAAATAGAGTCCGCACTAACGAAATGGCTTCAACAAAAATATTGCCTTTTTCGGGGAAATGATGAACTGTTTTGTCAAATGCTATTTTAATGCAGAATGTTAGAATCTAGGTGAAGTTACAGTAGTATTAGATCATTTATCATCCTTGTACAATTTCCAAAATGAAATCTTAATGCGACTATTTCAAAGGAAAATTTTTGGATCCTAATTCCTTTCTGAAACTATTTGCGGGGCCAGACATTCTCATTTTTTACACGTGATTCTTTTCTCCCTCACAAACGTCCATACAGTCATGGCTGATGAGCGAACATTTGGAAAACTCTACAATACGATTTTGGTGATTGACTTTAAGCTATGATCATTGGTCGTTGAATTAGGTCGGCATCACACTAGTGAATAATCCTTGATGATAGATAGTGACATAACCTTTGATCAATCATATTGATTGAAACATATGATTCAAATGGTTATTAGTGGAGTCTTTTGTTATTCTTTCGCTTCTTCCTCTGTGTCATTTTGTATTTTGGTTTGCGGCCATGAGGAGGATACATACTCCCTTTCCAGACAATGTATAGTTGAATACTTTGCATTTGGTTGCAGGGCTGTCTTACGACACCAATGAAACAGTTCTGAAGGATGCTTTTGAGATGCATGGAGAAATTATTGAAGGCAATATGCTGTATCCTTGATTGTAGTCTTTTCTTGTCCTTCACTTTATTTAGTCTAAGAGTTGATCCCATGTGCTTGACAGTGAAGGTAATATGTGATCATAAGAGTGGAAAGTCAAAAGGATATGGATTTGTGCATTTCACTACAGAGATTGCAGCGAGCAACGCCTTGAAGGAAATGAATGACAAGGTATGTTTTTTTGTAGTATTGCATAGTTCTGTGTGTGAGCTTGCACCTTTCTTTCAGTTCAAGTTTAGTCTCCTAATGCTCCTTTTTCAGATATTGGATGGTAGAAATATCCGTGTTCAGTGTGTTCACAAAAGATGAAGGCAAAGGATTCGGTCTATGGTGAATCATTTGTTGATTTAAATATTGTCTGCTTTCTCAGCAATGAGAAGAAGAATTCGTCACTGGCATCTCTCCTTGTATGCTTGCATGGTGGTGGCCTATAACGACAATCATCTAAATTTGAGTATTACTAGAGATTTTGTTCTAGCTTGTGACGAGTACATGTGATAATCTTGTGCCAATTTTTCCGTTGAGACAATTTTCTGGAAAATTTCATTGAACTAGAGTGTATGGGGAACTTATTCCTACCAAGAAACAAATGTACATACTGTGAGATCATAACCTTTTCTGGCATTCACCAGTCAGTCTGTTACTGAGAAAAGATGTTATCCACTAAGAGAGATTTGAGAAGTGAATTCATTATTTGATTTCTGTATGCTTTGTTGTTGAATCGTGAATACGATCAGGATAGTTCTCCTGTCTTGGCTTTTGAGTGGATAAGATAAAAGATTCCAGTTCTCTGTATGTTTAACTTGGTATATGGTGATTCTCCTCGGTTGCATCCGGTGTTTTTTTTTGGGAAAAGGGTGGGGATGGTGGGCGGGTTTTATTCTCAGTGTTATAATACTTTAAAACTCAAATATTTTCCCGGCTAATCTTTTTGGAGCCTCGTCAAATTACACAATGCTACGTCTTCTGGTATCCCAGTTCTGCTCTGACTTGTCACCTTCGGTGAACTTGTTCAGGTCAAGTCCGTGCGTTTGTCCTGATGCTCTTCGGCCTTGTTTACTCCATGGTACAATTTCATGTTAAGCCACATGTGAATTCTTCACTTAATTTTGTAATGGCTTGTTCGCATGTGTTAATTCTCGAGCTGATCCAGAATATTGAGAACACTTGGTACACCCAATGTTGGTACCACTGTAGGACCTGCAAGAATTTAACGCACACGGTACAAGCCTTTCACAAACCAATTATTTTGGATTGGTACAACCGCACAAGTAATGTATGCACATGTCAATGTTGATTAGATTCTGTCCTCAGGCTGTTAGAAGGAGGCCAAAACTTGGATAGACTTCAATGATCCAATGATTCTGATTCTGTTATACCATTTGTTTAAGATGACGCGACACGATTTGGATCATTGATTCTTTAAAAGTTGGGTTTGCCCAAGTGTGAGTTTTAAAAGGACAAAAAATGTGTGGGCAAAAATAAAAAGAAAAGAAAAAATGTCTCAATGAAAATGTATTCTGATTAAAGAAAAAAGCTATTGAAAGCGAATAGGTATCGCCGATGGCGAGGCATGAACATTTTCAAAGTTGCCGGAGGAGTTAACTATACTTCCTGGTCCTTGAGAAGAAGCAGGGGAGTAACTTCAAAATTCAAATATGGGTTGCATGCCGCAGCAGAAATGGAGAATTTCGGGCTTGGAGATGGGCTTTAATCATGTTGGATCTGAATCAGACTTTTCAGCTGTCAGTCGACATCGAACTCAAAAAATGCTAGCCCAACCTAGACCCACTTCAATTCGATTCTTAAGAAACCATTTCCTCCAAAGGAGTCCCGGGTGGAACCCAACTGCTCAAGAAAAGTCGGCCTGCATTGGGATCTTCCATGTACAGTACAGTACCTGCTGAGAGACTTGACTTCTTGAATTTTTATCTTCTTCCCTTTTTGAGGGGTTACATATTTCTTGAATCCATCGTATGAAAGCTTCGGGCCTTGGCCCTTAAAGATAACCAATCGTGGCAAAGTTCACCATCCGAGTGTAGCAACACGCAATGAAACCTCACCCAGGACGAGAATTATCTCGGGTCTAAGTCGAGTATACGTACGCGTTCGGAAATTCTTCATTGAACGTTCCAAGCTAGAAATGGACTAAGGTAAATGCGCAGACAAAAGTCTATTCGGAACTCCCTTCATTTCAAGCCCTTGTCAGCAGCAGACCATGTTTAAGCTTTAAACACTCAGAAGCTCGAGTAAGGCCAGAGAGGCATTTTCCTCCGCCAACTCAAGTTTTTGGACAAAGATGTTGATAGGTCAATTTATTCATAAGCTGTAAGAAACTAAACATGACAAGCACTTCAAAATAATTTTGAAAGTTTCTGCTTCAAGGGCAAGTGATCGACCAAAGTAACCTGCAAATCCAACTTCCCCCTTCCCTTGAAACAGCAGGGATTTCCCACTTGTGAACCTAAATCTACTCCCTTCTAAGGTAAAAGAAACTAACGTCTGCTCTTCTGGAGATTATAAGGTAATCCAACCAGAATCAAACATTAAAACTCTTGCAAAAAAGTAAACATTAAGTACCTGAACAAGATGGTAACAAATACGGTCATAGATCACAAACCTCGCAACAAGCAAAACATAAGGAAAACCTAACAAGTTTATGCATCTTAAACATCATTAGTGTGCAGTGCGCATTATTCCGTGCAAATAGCCCCCAGTCATGTAAGGGACACAAGCGAGACAATACCAGCTGGAAAAATCTTTCCTGATCTTTTAAAGCGAGAACCCATCATTCCCAAGAGAGCAGCAGACAACCCAAAACCAAGGGATGAAGCAAAAACAGGTTTTGTAGGAAGAGCTGTGTAGACATAATACAGTAGCGAGGCTGCTAGTCCACCAGAAATCAATGACTTCTGACTGCCACTTTTCAAATAGCCCATGAGTCCACCTGCTCCTACCAAGAAAGCATAGACTAATGTTAACTTTTGAGACATGGAAAGTGCAGTCTTCTTGCTGCTCCCAAGGTTTTCATCCTTGCTTTCACCTGAATCCCCTTCACTCTCATTGCTATCGTTACTATCACCCCATTATTGCCTCCACCACCACCTCCTCCTTTACCACTTGCATTGCCAAAGTCATTTCCACCCCCTCCAGTGTCTGGTAGCACATCAACCCCTTCCCCAGCTGAATCGACTGTGAAAGTAGTAGGCATTTTAGAATCTGAGATGACAGTTGCTCTAATCCCCCCAAAAACGTGTTTTTTTGGTACACACTTAATTGGAGATAACACTAACTTCGTTGCTAAGAAATGCCCAGAGGAAACTGCTAATGTTGATGCTAGATTCTGTGCAGCGGGATTCCATGCTCGCAGAGAATGTTGGAGCTGACACTTAGGCAGTAGAAGTAAAGAGGATTGAGAAAAAGTCAAGAGTTCTCCCATTGCCATTGACATTTGGAGCTTTAGCCTGCTTATACAGATCCGTAGAAGTAATGCACGCGAGAACTTAAGTCTCAGGATGTCTGATTTTCAGATCTTGTGGTCTTTGCAACTTCAACAAAAATCAGTCTGCCATTCACTATCTGCAATTACATATCAAAATTACATACTTCCTTAGCTATCCACCACCCCTGACATTCTATGGTAACAACAAAAATGCAGTTGGATTAGTAGAATCTACTTGTGTATTAGCTATAAAACTTATCCATGAGTATCTCTGAGAATTATCTAACTAATGAAAAAGTCAACTGCTGCTTTAAATAATCATCACTGGTTAAACTTCTTATTTGACATGCACTCAACTCATAAAATTATGCTTCTAGCTTTAACTTGTGAAAGGCATGAGTAGTTTACTCATGGAAACGAATAGCCAAAAAAATCATGACTTTTAGTCATCTATTTTGATTGCAATAAAAAGAATTTGTTTTTGCTGAAGACAAATTTAAAATAGATTAAGATAACATGATGAGGATATGACAGGTAACAATGGAAATGTCACATAAAACTTGGGAGAATTCAACCAAATCATAAGTCCCATGCTTCTCTCTGATGATTTTCAGTTCTTAAGGACAATAATGCATGATGCATCGGGAGCATCAAATCATGTTTAGACACAAGGATGCACACTAATTGGTGGCATTGCTGACCTACACATTCTTTAACAGAGTCTATCCAATCCATACAGCTCTGTCCACTTGTTTACATCCCAAGAGTACATTCAGCAAAGTGTTCGAGACTCCAAGTTTACATTTTGACCCTTAAACTTCATAAAAATCCAAAAGAATTGCTCTTTCTTCACCTCTTACATTGTGCCTAACAGGAAAGCTTTAAACTTTATACCACTAAGAAAGACCTCGATTAATAATAAAAAGCAAACAGAAATCCTAATGAATCAAGTGAAAGAAATAATCATTTTAATCACAGAAATTAACAGAAGCATTTCTGTAATGAAACGCATGAATTGGCACAGATAAGTATAGCTATGATAAAAAAGAAAATATACCCTGCCATTCATTGCCTTTAACGCATTTTGAGCATCAGTTTCTGAATCAAACTGGACAAATCCAAACCCTTTAGTCCTTCGCGTTATTGGGTCAATAACAAGCCTAGCTGCATACATCAGTTACACAGCATCAACCCGAAACAATTATTGACTCATAATGGGAACTGCATAGGATTTTTATATAAAAATATCAATCCTTTACCAAAATTGAAAAAACTTTCAAAACACTTGTTCAGGTAAAAAAAAAAAAGTCAATTAATAATCCCTCAAAAAAACGAGATATAGCAGAAAAATCACCAATCTTTTTCAGTAAGCTACTAAAAGCTATCCAAATCACCTTGCGTAACCAGACCGAATGGTGAAAACAGACTCTTCAATTCTTCAGCAGTCGTGTAAAATGATAATCCTACCAAAAAACCAACAAAATCAGGAATACATCGAAAAACCAGAATATACTATACACATCTAGCAACAGACGACTCTTAACTCTACCAGAAACTTCCGTACAAAGAGCATAATGAGTATAAGCAAAGAAACCCAAATTCGCCAGTGTTGCAGAAATATAGAGACAGAGAGAGCATATCACTTACTGCTTACAAATAGTTCTAGACCTCTTCTGGCCATCTGGGGTTCTAAGAGTGGAGCAATCGGTAATAAAAGAGCGTGCAACTTTTCCAAATTACCAGTTAGTCCTGAAGTTTGTTCGGTGAACCATTATATTATCAGAATTTCCTTTTAGGCGCACTATAAGCTCTCTCTCTCTACCTCTTGTTTTTTGAGGTTGATTTTTGGATTTCACCAATTACGTTAGTACTGAATAGCCTATTATTAATGTACATGGTATATGCTTCTTGATTTTGTTACAAAATAGCTAATATTTAATTTGCATTGTAAAAAGAAAGAAACTAAATTCACAATGTTTTTTTAAAATCTACTCCCCATATTTTATTGAGAATATACTTTTTTATAGTAAATATTTTTAAATGTTTTTCTCTATATGTAAGAAAATGTTACAAAGAAATTATGTGCGTATTGATTAAATTGTTTTTTGCTTCATGTACTCTTAAACTCGACTTTTACTCTTAAGTTGTTTAAATAAGAAATTATCTGCATATGCAGTTAGCATTTAATCAAATTTATGAAAGTTATTTTCCTTAGCATAGTTTTTTTGTCTAACAATTCCACATTTATTTGAGAAGGTACTTATTTCTATTTCATTACCTTCTACGTGGGGAGTTTTTGTAAATTTTTATAGCAAAACTAAATTGTAGTAGCATATGAGATAGGTGGTTGGAAAATTCAAAAAGCTAATAAAGCTTTTTATAGAAACGGATGATTGAAGTGTGGTTTCCTTACTTAATTTATTTTCAATTTTATTTATAATGAGTGATGTTAAATCTTAATTAATAGACAAATGACTGCTTAATTTTGTTAATCCACTATTGTTACTAAAAAATCTTCAACACTAAATTGCCTACAACTTTTCCCTTTTAAGATTGCGTCACAATTTCACAACTAGCTAAGGGATGAATTTGTAGATGAAACTACTTATAATTTAACAAACTTGAGCAACAAAAAAGACGAGGAGGGTTGAGGGACAATTAAAATTCGAGAGGCCTCCCTGAGTAGTGGTATTTAGTGGAGGGGGTTTTCTGCAATTCACAAAACATACTACTCGTCACTGGAGAGCCTTTCTGGAACCTAAAAATTACTATCAAAATTACATCATCGACGCTGTAACAAACAAAATACAGAAAAGAAATGGCGTGGAGGAGTAATCTCTCAAAGAATCTCAAGGAGCTTCGAATCCTCTTCTCCCCATCGGCTCCAGCCAGCTCTTCAACAAGGTACCACTGTTAGGCTTCCTTCTCGTACAATATATTTTGTTTAGTATTTCCGTCGGCTTAAGTTTCCTTTCCCCCTTTTCCCTCTCAATAATGGTTTCGGATGCATCATTCACAGAGTATTCATTGAAAGGAATTACAAGGATCTTAAGAAACTCAATCCCAAACTTCCGATTTTGATCCGGGAGGCCGATAATACAGAGCCTCAGCTTTGGGCTAGATTTGGTATGTCTTTTTACCCCTTCAAATTTCTATTTATGTCTCCCAACTTTAGATTTCTGTGGAATGCGATGATAAGTTTGAGCTTTTTTAAAAAATGATAAATTTAGATATAACAAAAAACGTCATAGGGGAATAGTAGCCCGTTTTCGTCACTATGTTGATGTAGAAGTGGAGAATCTAGGAAGCTCAACTTGTCCTGCAATTGATCTTGGCATTCTAAAGATTCCGACTTTTGAGAGAGTTCAGATTTTCGTTTGCTCCGTGAATAAAAGAGGTAGTTGACCTAATGGCATTTGTGACACGTTTCCCAAATTTTTGGGATTGTTAGGAGAAATCAACTTGGACGTTTTGGATGGTTAGTGCATGCAATTTGGTTTAAAGTGTTTGATACAACAATTAGGAAGAAGACTAGTTTATTATGAAATAGTTGTAACCTACTTTAATTCCTCTTGCGTTGCGTATCTTTGTCTTGTTTGTAATTTGGTCACATCTTATTTGTGCTTTACTATTGCTTATGGATCTTTTTGTGTATGACTAGATTTTGGAGTTGAAAGAGGAATACGTTTGGATAGTATGACAGAGGATCAGATCTCAAAGGCACTAGAGGATCTTGCTAAAGTTGGGGCAGCTCTCAAATCTTGATGTAGGTGTCTATGGTCCTTTATTTTTAATAAAGCAATGGTTGCTGGAAAATGCCATATCATGTTCTCCATTTGTTCTAAGCAACTTGATTTTCTCTTTTTAATGAAATTGAGACGAGTTTTTTCCCCCTTGCTGAAACTAAGAAATTGGGAATGGGTTATTGAAAGTTTATGCTATTCTGCATGAATTTCAAACTGCCTAGTTGTTTGGATTGTCTGTACTGTTTGGAGGATATGAATGCCATATCCTGCAAGCATACTAATTAGTGTTAATAGTTTATTAAACTGATATATCTGGTCAGCTATTCAATGTTGATCTTCTTTTGATCTGGGGAAGGGGAATGGTGGGGAGCTGCAACTGTGCTCCCATGAGAAGAGATCTGGCTGCATTTTCTTTAGCCCTGCATTCTAGAAATTTGAACCAGTTCTGCTTAAACTTTATCAGGGTAACTCTATGTGGTACACCTTCGCATATGGGATTGTTGATCCTATGAGGAAGTTGAGGTTGCAAAGTCCCAGAGTTATGACTTTATGGTTCTAGGATTCCTTTCTGAAAAGCATGGCTCTCTTATCTATATATCTGGACATCCTTTTATTTATTTATTTATTTTTGGGGGGGGGGGGTGTGTGTGGTTGGTGGGGAGGGAGAAGAAGGCGGGTGGTGCTGGAACTGTACTCCCATGTGAAAAAGATTCTAGCTTGTGTTTTCTTATTCCCGAATTATGGATATTTGACCCAGTTCTGCTTAAAACTTATGTTGGTAATCTATATATAATACAATTTGGCATTTGGAATGGTTGATCCTGTGGGGAAATTGAGATCATGAAGTCCTTGAAGTATGACTTTATGATTCTAGGATTCCTTTCTGAAATGTATGGCTCTCTCAATCACTTTCATTTTATTTTGTCTGGGTTAGTATGTCCTTTTAAGACTTCTGTTCTACTGTTACATGTAGGTCCAATGGACATTTAAGATGAGATTGTACTTAGTGCTCTAGTGGCTAGGTGAGAAAACCATGTAGTCTGGTTTGTCTAATAGGTTATTGCAACAGATTTTTGGTTGTCATAATACTAAAGGTAGGAGGCAAAAACTGGAGATGCTGGCTTATCTGCCTGCTAGGTAGTAGCTATAACCTAAATGAATCCTTCTTGGATGTCTCAGCTTATAGCATCATTGGGATAAAGACTTTGGGATGCTCACATGAAATAAAATTTTGCCAATTAGGTATTGGTGCTGGAGAAGCTTTTTGCGTACTTTGTTGGAATGGTCCTTTTCAGAATAGGATGCAAGAAAGAAGTTGAATAGAGTTCTGCAGCTTCTTTTTTTCCCTGGAATAGCAGTTGGCTTTGGCCTAGGGCCAGCATTTGGTTTTAGCTTTATTGCCTAGAGACAGAGCTAAGTTATGATTGTACCATTACGCAAACACAACCATGCACACACATACACTGGAAGAGGAGGAGGCGGAGGATTATTTATTCCAATGTTGTTGTGACTTCTCATGCATCATCCTGTAATTGAAAAACCACTGAGAAAAAAATCTCCCCTCAATTTCTCTTCAACAACTTTGACTTAGAAAGATAGCCTCCTTCAATTTGTATCGTTTGTCTCTGGAGAAGCTGTGTAGTTTGGGTTCCAATCTTTTTTGGTAATTGGTTTGGTCTCAAGATCATTTGATATTTGGTCACAAAATCTACATTGAGTGGCCGTTCACAAGGTATAAAAGGATAGTCCTCGGAATATTACTGCACATTCAGAGATCAGCCCAAAACAAGCACCTGCATGCCATGCCTGAATGTTGAAAGTAGGTTTGTGGTAAAAGAAATTTAGCAATAGCAATCTTGATTTGAATGAGAGATGATATACATGATTTCTGCCTGTTTCAGACTTAGCCAAAAGTTTGCCTTTGGCTGCACTTTGTCAAAATTATGGTCATTGGTCTTACTTCTTAAACATCCATAGCAGACACTTTTTGATGTCTGCAAGCACAAAAAGTTGATGAAAACAATCAGCAAATGAGAAAGGCACCGAATAAGGGGAATCAAAGGGAGTAATGTGTGATGCAGTTAAGTGAATGTGAATTATCATTTTCATTGCTATTAGATGCTTCCAAAATCTTCGTACAACGTTCCACTGTTGTTCCTTTGGTCGGTCTGCGGCTCTTTCTGCATATTGTACAGCTTGTGCCTGCTCCCTTCCCCCAAATTCTACGTGTTCATGCATTTGACAATTGCGGTGCTATAGATCAGCGATTTCTAGTTGTTCTGCGCTAAGTAGCGTGCTGAATTTTAGCCTGTTAATATCATGGATGAAACTGGAAAGAATTTGTACTAGCCATTGCATTGATCAAGAGGCATAATCCTTGATTATAATCGTTAATTAGGAATGTTCCTTGGTGAACAACTTGGGCTGAGACATGTAGCTGTGAATGGGTTAGAAGGCCCGATACACGATTTATGCTTGCGTAACGACCATTCCATCTTTTTGGCTTTTCCATTTTCCTGTTTCTTTCATCGTTTTAGCGACGTCAAACGTGGTAAATTAGCAAATTCGCGCTTCTGAACAGGAGTCAACTACCGAAATACCCACAGAGATCGGCAAGATATGGAAACAATTAAAATATTATCCGTCGACTGCTTACTTTATGAACATTTTTTTTTTGGGGTTTCAACTAAAAACTTCAAACTCTACAAGGAGGAAGGGCAAAAGGGTAGGGTTTGAAAGTTGAGCCATGAATATTATGATTAATTGGATAATGTTCTCACTAATTAAGTTGGAATTTGGGAAAAAAAAAAGTTTTGAAGTAATCCTAAAAGTATCATCAACTGTCCACTCCAACGTTCTGATTCAAGAAAATTGTATGATATTTAAAGAACCTCTTGTGAAACAGATTGGTGTACGTATTGTATATCTATTGTAGTACCA